TCTTTTTTCATGTCCGGCAATGGACCGCAACCCTCAGTGTCGCGCCCGTACCGGACCGGCAACGGGATCGCAACCCTCGGCGTTGCTCCCACGCCTCGCTCAGCCAGTGAGTGGGAACTGGTCTGTATGTGGGATCCAAACCCTCAGCGGGAGCGCCACCACGCTCCCAAGTGGCGCACTGTAGCAGTGCGCCACCGGGCCAGCCCTCAAAATATATTTGATAAATAAAAGCAATGAATGAATATTGACTTCAAAGCCCGAGATCTTAACACATACCACTTTCAGTGCAGCCTCGCACCCCCACCTTCACCTTCACAGGGATATTTGGGGAATGATGTAAATCACAGATGCCAAGGAGCTGCACAAAGGCTAAAAGCAGCTACCTAAGGTAAGGTATTAATACCGTCGTTTTCTCTTTTGAAATGTGAATAATATTGTATCTGGCAGCCACAATAAATTTTTTCCTACTCTCAGAAGGTTTTTTGGACAAAGCTATTTTCAGGCAATCTGCTAGTTTGACAGTTACTTTTGCTCTTTCAAATAAATATTTATTCTTTGGAATTGTTGCTCATTTTTCAGCATAAATATAAATTTGCCCGTTTCAAACAGCATCAACTCTGGCCAATCAGATTGTGGGAAAGACTGGCCCAGCAACAAAGGAAAGGTTTCTAAAGTTTAATTAGCCGCCAAAGCAGAAACTCTGCCCCCACTGGCATGCCTCTGGATCACCAGGACATCGAGTCCATAAAACACGGGGTGGTCTGATCACAGTCCCGATCAGGCATGGTCGTGTCATTCTGGGCCATTTACAGATGAGACCTTTGTTGTAATAACAGTACAGCAATTAGCAACGAACCCAGCCAGGAAGGAAACTAAGCCAGGTCTCGACCTTTTCAAAGCTTCAGATGATGGACTCTCCCTAGTTATGACTGGGTAAATACATCACATTTATGACAGGTTTCTCTCTCGTTAGCATAGTTTTTTTAATTACTGTATAGCTCTGCAGCAAGGCTAAAGTTAAAAGTCTCTCCTCCAAAACAAGTTCACAGCTTCACAAAAACAAAGAAAAAGGAAGAAAGAAAACTTCAAACTCTTCTGAAATGTAGAAGCCACAGGAATTTTCATCCCAAAGGGGTTAGGAAAATAATTTATACAGGTGGTGACTTAAGACTGCTTTCAAGTATTAGTGTTTTGCAATGTACACTTCATGTCCTTTTATCTCCTATTCTTCAGCAATGCCCTTGAAAACAGGTGAATAACATCTCTCTCCCATTTTAGAAGAGCCTGAGTCAGAGAGAAAAGCTGGCTCCTGTTTCCAGACAGCACAGAGCTATAAGGGGCTGAGGCTAGTTTCCATTCCTGAGAGTGATGAGACACTAGGAGAGTCCATTTCCTTCTCTGTAAAATGAGAAAACTGGATTATGTGACCCAGAACCCTGCCTTTCCCTTCTAATATTCTGGATTCTTTCCCCTTATAGCCCCCTACCAAGGAAAAAAAAAAAAAAAGAACCATGAGCCTAGGACATGAGGACATGGGGAAAAAGCAGTATTTGGCCCTAGATAGTTATTCAAAGTTTACTTCAAGACAGGAGAGAAAAGGGCAAGGAGCTGCCTAAATTGACAGAAGTCAGAAGCACTGAATGGGGAGTCATGTATTTCTCCACAAAAACTTAAGCAGTGAGCCATAATGCTTGAAAAGTAGCTCTTTACTAAACAATTCCAGGAGTAGGATAAAAGTTGGCTCAGATCAATCTTTACAGGGAGTTACTTCAACTCTGGTAGACACACTGAGTCCTCTTGTGGTCACATTATTAACAGTTAACTCTTTAGAAATATTCATTGCTTTCTTAATGTCTCTGTTCTTGGGAATCTTGACAAAAGCAATAGGTCATTGTTGACTTGGAACGGAAAATCCACTGGATTGAGATACAGACTACAGTTGGAAACTTCAGTGAGTATGAATTTGATTCAAATGAAGACATCATAACTTGTCTTTTCCTTTTTTAAAGTCTCTCCTCCACTCTTTCTTTGATGACAATCTAGTGCATATTTTTGATAAAGAATAATCTGATGTTCTAAAGTTTTTCATGATTAATAAGAAAAAAGACCAATGAGCCCAGTTCTACTTTAGTTTCCCAGATGATTTTACTTTTTAAATCAACTTTACTGCATTTTAATTTATATATAAATGTACTCATTGAAAGTATATGAGTTGTGACAAATGTATAAATCCAAGTAAACACCACGATCAAGACAGAGTTTTTCCAACATGTCCAACAGTTCTCCCGTGGCCCCTTGCAGTCATCTTTCCACTAAGCTCATCCTCAGATATCCACTTGGCTATTTATCACTATAGGATTTTTCTTTTCTAGAATCTATATAAATGGAATTATACAGTATGTTCTCCCTTTTGCTGATCTTCTTTTGTTCTCACCATAATGTTTTTGAGATTCATCCAAGTTATTTCCTTTTTCAGCAGTTGATATCTTTCTATTGTTGAGTAATATTCTATCACGTAAATACATCACAATGTGTTTATCCATTCACCGGTTGAGGGACAATCAGGTTGCTCCCAGTTTTTCTCCATTGGATAAAGTATCTCATGGACATGTGTTTTCATTTATCTTGGACAAATGCCTAAGAGCAGAACTGTTAATATGGTCCTATGATAAATTTCACATGGTAAGAAATCGGCAAATTTTTCCAAAGTGATTATACCATTTTACACTTCTACAAGCAGGGTGTGAGAGTTCCATTCGCTCCATATTTTTGTTAACATTTGGCACTCTTAATCTTTTCACATTCAGTAATACTGGGGGGATGTAATACTGTCATTATGGCTTTCATTTGCATTTTTTTTAATTGCTAACAATGTTGAGCATCTTTGCAAGTGCTTGTCGAGCAGTCCCGTTATCTTCTCTTTTCAAATCTTTTGCCATTTATTGGGCTGTCTTCTTACTATTGAGTTGTAGAAGTTTTTTATTCTAAACACAAGTCTTTTGTCAGATATATATATTGTGAATATTATTTCCTAATCTGTGCCTTGCTTTTTCATTTTCTTTACACTGTCTTTGGAAGAAAAGTTTTAAATTTTGATGAAGCCCAATTTTTCAATTATCTTTTTTTAAAGCTGGTGTCTTTTGTGTCCTGAAAAATCTCTGCCAACCTTGAGGTCATAAAGATTTTCTCCCAGAAACTTTATAGTTTTACATTTTACATGTAGGCTTATGATCCATTTTAAGGTTTGTATATGGTATGAGGTAAGAATTGAGACTTATTTTCACATGGATAAATAGTTGCTCCAGCACTATTTGTTGAAAACAGTTTCCTCAATCCATTGAATTATCAAGACACCTTTGTCTAAAATCTATTGATCACACACTTCTGGGTTATTTCTGGGCTCCTTATTCTGTTCCATTGATCTGTATTGATCCTTATGCCAATGTCACACTATCTTGACCACTGTAGCTTTAGAGTAAGCCTTAAAATTGGGTTCCAGTTTTGTTCTTAAAGACTTCTTTGGCTAATGTGTATTCTGCTCTGGTTGGATGAAGCATTCAAAACATGTCAATTAGGTCAAGTTGGTTGATGGTTTTGTTCAAGCCTCCCTACATCCTTAGTGATTTTCTGTCTACGCATTCTATCAATACTCTTCAATAGAGTATTAACATGTACAGCTGAAGTTGTAGATTTGTCTATTCCCCTTTTAGTTCTATCAGTTTTTTCTTCCTGTATTTGGAAGCTCTGTTATTACGCATATATACACTTAGGATTATTACATCCTCTTGGTTCCATCATCATGAGATGTCTCCCTCCCTGATAGTAGTTCTTGTTCAGAAATCTACTTTGTTGGATATTAATATAGCCACTCTAGCTTTCTTTTAATTAGTTTTTGCATGATATACATTCTTCTGTCCTTTTACTTTCAAATTATTTGTCTTTATATTTAAAGTAGGTTTCTTACAGACACTACAAAGTTGGGTCTTGTTTTTACATATATATAATCTGTTAAACTCTGGATTTGAATAAGGGTTTAGATGGGATTGAATGGGTTTAAATCTACCATCTTGCTATTTGTTTTCTATCTGTCTTAACCATAGTTCCTTTTTTCTTCTTCCTTGTTTTTGATTTTTTAAAAATTCCATTTAATCTCCACTGTAGGCTTATTAGCTATACCTCTTTATTTTTCTAGTGGCTCCTCTTAGGTAAGCATCAACAAAAAACGTCTGTAATGTACCAGAAGGTAAATATTTTAGGATTTGCAGGATGTGCAGATACCATAGGATTTCTGTCACAACTACTCAATTTTTCCATTATCGCACCAAATAGCCACAGACATGAGTGAGTATGGCTGTGTTACAATAAAACTATTTGCCAAAGCAGGCAGCAAACAAGATATTTTGTCAATGTGGGGGTGGGGGGCTGAACATGCTTAAAACCAAATTTGGTCTACATGTTATAGTTTGCCAATCCATTCTAGGGTTTACAATATACATCTTTAATTTATCACAGTCTATCTTCAAATAATATTTTATCCTTCCACCTATTATATGAGAGAACTTCAAAAAGTTCACAGAAAAATAAAGATGTATACAGTAGGGGTTGGCAAACTTTCTGTAAAGGGCCAGATAGTAAATGTTTTAGGCTTTGTGGACCTAAACTACTCAACTGTGTAAACAAATGAGTGTGGCTCTGTTACAATAAAACTTTATTTCTAAAAATAAGCAGCAGGCTACATGGGCGAGGATTTGGCCCGCTGGCCACAGTTTGCCAGCCCCCGCTCTAGAGCTAGTTTGGCCCTACTACTAAAGGCCTTTCTAGGGTTTCTACTGACAGTCCAGGGTGTTTAATGAGGTCTTTCCATTCTGGTTAGGCATAACTTGAACACATCCCAGTCCTGTTCACATAGCTCTGGTTATTATTTGTTTTACAGCCCCCCAGTCTTTCTCTTTCCTCTAGTAGTTCTGTGCCTGGCCTCATAGAATCACATCCCATGTAAGTGTAGCTTAGTCTTCAGCCAAAACTCAAAAGGACCCCACGGTGTATTTACAGAGCTCTTTCTCTGAATAGCTCCCTCCCTTCCCATATTCTGCCTCTCAAATTTCAGCCACTCAGCCTCCCAGAATGCTTATCTCTGTCTCCTTAACTCAATGAGACCACCATGTGCTTAACTCAACGTGACTACCCAGTCTTTGTACTATGTTGTGTGAAAATTGTCTCTATGCAGCAAGCGGAGGTAAACACAGCCTGGGGACAAAATAAATGGAGCTAAGCATCTCCGTCCTCTAGCTGAACAGAAAGTCCAGTGGCAGGAGAGGCACAGCAAGATTATTCCAGAACCAAGAGACCTGCAAGGCTCCTGCACCACACCTTGATAGAGCCCATCAAATACAGGAAAGTAGTGCATATACCTGCCACCTGTTTATTTCAGGTGCACTACATTTCCAATGATGCCTTAGATGCCAACGTACTGTGGTAGTTTTTGCAAAAGCTAACTTTTCCCTCATAAGTCTAATTGTCCCATTAAGTTATCACTTTAGATCCCATTTTAACTTCTTAGGTTGAAAGAATGGGCCCAAAACTGATCCCCCTCTCCCAATATCCAGCAGAATTAGTCTCCTATGTAAAACCAAAGGATTCATGATAATACAAAAGAAAAATCATGTTGCTCAACTGAAAAAGGCAGTTGATCAAAGTCATGGAGATATAAAGAGAGAGGCTATTTAAAAATATCTCTCTGTAGAAACAAACAATTTTAGGAGCAACCCACTGTACTCTTAGGGTAACTAAGAATCAGAGAAGGGACATATCATCTTCCTATAAGAGTATTTGGTGCAAAGACCTCAGCATTCCTCTCACACTGATTCATTTTTCTCTTGCTAGTAACATTTCCAGGTGTGGAAGGACCAGAATAACACTGGCCACTATTTTTTATTCTCCTATTCTCCTTTAACTAAAACTGTTGGCGCATTCTTCCTGCAACAGGATTTTAGGAAAACACCTGCCCCTCTGCATTTTTTAGCTTACTTCATTTTATGCCAGATGTGTGACATTATCCACACACTTGTTTTGTTATTTAAAAAGGGACAGTAGCATGCCAGAGTTTCTTCCACAAGTCAGCAGAAAAAAATTAACAGCTTTGTTCAAGGGATGTTAAATAGCAGAATACCCAACTGCTATGAAGGCTTTATTAATCTTTTTTTTTTAAACTTAACAAGTATTAAGCACTCATTTGACTCCAATCACCAGCAGGGCTGGTCTATTAGTAGAGATGCAAGGCCCTGTAAGGTGAATGCTGTCACAATTAGGAGCTTAGATTCCCTTCCACAACACATGATTGAAAGGGGGAGTAACAATGAGAGAATTTCAAACTAGTCTCTGCTCAGAGATTGACAGCAGCAGCAGTCTTAAAAGAACTCATGACAGGTTGTAGTGTAATAAATGGCATAAAAGAACAATCATAATCCTAAAAAGACTGTGTTCTCTGTTACTCCCCACTCCCACCTCCCATTTTCCAAATAAACATTTCCCCAAAGTAAAAGGGACTTACCCTACTATTACTATAACAAAATCCAGTAAATTCCATCCATTCCTAACATAAGCATTAGGATGTAGCAATAATCCATATGCTATAATCTTCAAAAATGTCTCGACTGTAAAAATAATCAGGAAGGCATATTCTACTTTTTCCTGTGAAGAGAAAAAAGGAAAAAAAAAAAAAAAAAAAAAAAAAAGGAAAGGAAAAGAAACAGGGATTAGAACATCTCAGAGATAGAAGTAATTTTCTCCAAGCAAAGTTTTATTATGAGAAATGAAACAATTACACTGCACCTGGACCAAGAAGGCATTTTAATTCTAACACTGAATTTCTCATAAGCAACCAAGCGTAAAACACTTTTCATTCCAGGCTGCATGATTGCATTTTGCCACCTGCCCTGATGCGTGTGCAATGAGTCTGCCTGGGACATAACGGGCATGTTTGTTATTTGCACACAGTTGCAGAATGCAGCATGTTTTTCTCCTGAGATTACCTAATTAGGCCCAGAAAAGCACAAGGGTGCAACTAAAATTCTAATAGCAACTCTGAACAGGATGTCCTATGATGGAAGAAATGAAGATGCATCTGTTTTGACCCTCTCTTCCTCCTGGGTTTATACCTGACTTCTAAGTCAGAGTCAGCTTTGTCACTGAGCTGCAAGGTGACCTTGGGCAAGTAGCTTCCCTCCACTGGACATAAGTTTCCTCATCTACACAGGTGGGTGGGCCGTGGAATTCAGGATGACAAACAAGCTGCCTGCTTATTGGCATGCCACCCTCCCTGGCCGACACTGCTGATGGGTCACCATGTGCTTCCCTGGGAGCCTGGGCTCGGCTCCGAATCCTCCTCTTCTATCTGTCCCGGTAGCCATTCCAATCTGACTTTCATGGACCCGAGAGGGGCCACCTGCAGGCTAGACGACACAGAACCTCTTCAGTTCCAGCCCATGTAACTCCATAAGCTGTGGAAAATTTTGACTCTTTCCTCTTTTATAAATCCTTTCTTTATATGGCTTCAGTTTCAAGAGAAATATGGGCAGACAAGGATATGTATAATTAATTTTACAAGAGGCATTCCCTGGCAAGAAGCTACTTAAATAATAATCATCAGCAATTAAAACTCTTCCATATGTGCTATAATGTCCTCTACTAATATTACCTGTGGGACTTGAGGAGAGTTACCAAGATCACAGGGAAATGGAAGTCACAGAATCCACTTATTTATTAAGATGCCTAATGCAAGAGGTCAAACGAACTGGGCTCAAGAAACACTTAACGAGCACCTCTTCTGCATGACAGGCACTGTACCAGGAGCCAGATCAGAAAAATATTCCCACTATGGTCCCTGTCTTCAAAGTTTAGTCTGGTGGGGCAAGAGTGTTTCACATATACACATGGAGAACTTCTGAAGAGTCACAGGACAGGTAACCATCATGTGTGATTCTGTAACTTCAGCCCTCTGATGAAGTCAAAGGTTTAGTTCACTTCTCCTTAACCTTCCATTTCACAACTGATTACAGGAGAAAAAAAGAAAAAGGACTCTGCTTTGTTATATGTGACTGCTATTGTAGACATATTTTTATAAATGCAAATTTGTATTTTTAAGAAAATTCAGGTTTCTGAAAAGAAACTTTTTTTAAGAAACATTTTTTAAATATTCATTTTAAGATGATTCCCACAGGCCTGATCCCCGGAAAAACTGTCACCTGATAGATACTTGCTTGTAGTAGCCCCAACACCCTTTTCCATTTAAATGTTTATCTTGCCTGAGCCTCCCGTGGGCTCTAGCCATCTGCTGCCAGAGTGGGGCCCCTCTACCACGGCTGCCCCGGACGGAACTTCCCCTTGTCTTACCACCAGTATCCTCTCTCTTGGCCACCAGGGGAACCATCCAACCACTGCTGTGCATCCCAGACTTCACCCCCATTCTTGACCCCCACCTGTCACAAGAGAGTCAGTTCATCCATTCTCCCTTCCCAGGTCCCAGAGTTATCATGGTTGCTGTCATTTCTAAACCTGCTCTCCAGAGCTCCCTGCGATCCTCGGAACACTATCACAGAGGCCTAATAAATCCTTTTAGGTGAGTTAGCCAGGGTCAGGGTGTTTACAATGTAAAAGCCTAGCTCATCCGCAATCTGTATCCTTGGGCCTACTCTAGACCTTCACACAGGGCCTGTTCTCAGCCGGGCTGGATCCTTGGGCAGAACCCCACTCCCTCCGCACGCCCACATCAGATGCCCTCCCACACCACGCACAGACCTACAAGGATGCCTTCGTTCACTACACAGATGCCCTGTCATTCCACCCACTGCCACATCCCCCGTGGAGTGCTCCCACAGGAGGCACATGCCACACAGCTGTTGAACGTGATGCTGTAAATGCTCTGAGGAAATGCAACTCACGCTGCTACCAGATAGGGGGGAGCGATCCATGAAGGCTCCAATGAGGCAGTGACATTAACTCTGAAATCTCAAAGGGAAAGGAATTCTGTTTCTTTAACCAGAGGCAAAAATCCCTGAAAATACCAATCCACTGTACTTGAATCAGACCCTGACCACCAAATGCAGATCATCAATGTGTTTGAGACTTGAGTTCTCAGGAAACAAGATGAGCTAAAATCAGCACACTGATTTTACAATTTCTCTTTCCTTTTTATCCTTTCTGCTTTATTTACTAGAGTGGGGGGCAGATCGGGGAGGCTTTGCTGTCATCAATATTCATAGTTACGTCCCTATGTCAAGACAGCACCATACTTCAGAGCAGAAAAACAAGGCAGAGTACAGAGAGTACACCTACCAAACACAGCTTGTTTTTCCTCTTTGGCTTTTATTCATAAGTGATTTTGCCACCATAACACAACAGCCATTAGTATAACTTAATTGTTTAGGATTCTTTTATCTGCCGTTCCCTCACCCTTTTTAAAGAATTTCTCTTTCCAAAGTCCTTAGTGAATTACTTGATGGAAATGATGATAAGAAATATTGCCTTGCTTTAATGAGATTCTTTATTACAGATATTCTACCGTAATGCCAACTGAACAATCACAGTCCGGACAGCGTGACAGACCAGTTGGCCCAGAGCCAACATCCTCGTCTCCAATCCTGCCATTAAAAAGGACACCTATGAAACAAGTGTACCTCCACATTAAACAAATGTAGTGTTTAAAAAAAATCTTGCAAAACAACCATCAGGTTTTTTTTTCCTATCCCAGGAAGTGGGATAATTATTTGCTTTCCAAAAGGACTGTTCATTTGAGAAGAGAATGTTGAGCCAGAAATTTGAAAAGGAAGCCAACAAGAAAGCCGGGTTTCTAACTAGGCGAGGTGGGGATGTGCACTGAGCGGAAGCAGCTGGGTGAGATGTGGCCCAGAGAAGACGACACTGACGTCCATGGCTGGGAAGGACAAGAGCACAGAAGCAGCAGCAAAGACGAAGGAATAGGATGCTGAAGAACGGGCAAGCAGGAACCCCCAGAACCAGACATGAAACAGGGTGTCCCTTCTATAAGGGGCCTGGGCAGGGGCTGTACCTTAAAAGCCCCTCTCCAGGCTAAACAGAAAGACTAAATGGTTCCTGCATGCCAATCTCCTCCACTTGGCAGGCAGAGCCTTGCTTGTGGCACTTGGCCACCCACCTGCAGCGACAAATTCCCACTGGCAGGAAATCTTGAGTGGGCAAGAGCCACTTGAACCTTGAGCCACTTCACCTGAATTCCTTCAGACAACCATGGCCAGAGACCACCCTATCAGAGTGTTAGCCAGAGACCTACATAGGAACGCAAGCACCCCCATGAAAACTCAAGCCACATGAGAAATAAATCAGGTTTCAGAATTAGATTTTTAGCCTTTATCTTCTTTAAACAGTGAAATTTCACTAACAGGACAGTCTCTAAACCAGTTAACCTTACACACACATTGTCAACTAGCAGGAGCTACAAGATGCTAGAATCCTTAATGGTACTTGGTTCGCTCCTCTCCTATTCTCAAGGATCCTTTTACTAGTGCTGTGGCATGAATACTCATCCATCCGTCCATTCATCCATCCATGCCTGAGCACCTGGGTCCTCCTCTGCAAAACCTGATCACTAACCCCACCAGCCCCCGTCTGCTGTCAGAATATCAACAGAGGCTTGATGCAGCTGGGGGAGATTTGCCTCTGCTTCGCTCGTCCACCCACACAACCCCAAGTCTTTGGAAAGGCTTTCCTGGCTTACATCCTGCCAGTAGCTGCCTCCTCCTCCCCCATCACTTACTGTGCCCTGCAGTTCTGGGCTCCCTATCAGCAGGGATCATCTCCTACTGTCTTCATAACTCTAGCATCTAAGCACCATACTGGGCATACAATAAGGCACTCACGGGTGCTACTAGGAAGTACAGAAGAAAAAAAGGGAAGGAATAAAGCAACAAAGCTGGACATAAGGGGGACTATAAGAACATGAGGTTTTGGGCCGACACCATGGCTCACTCGGGAGAGTGTGGCGCTGGGAGCACAGCAGCGCCGAGGCCGCAGGTTTGGATCCTATATAGGGGTGACCGGTACGATTCCCTTACCAGTCACAAAAAAAAAAAAAAGAACATGAGGTTTTGTAATATTAGCATATATACCAAAACAAACAAACAAACAAAAAAAAATGGGCATGTATCTAAGTTACCATAAACCCTTTCTAGAACAAGCATGGAGTAAATGGTCAAACTGCTCAGACAATAGCTGATCTCGACATCTCACCTGCCCTCCCTATCTCTTGCAACCTGCAGCCCCCTGGTTAAGGTTCACATCGTCCATCCTTCCCACTCTCTTACCCAAGAGCCCTCTACTCCAAGTCATGGGCCAACCTGCTCCACTCCCCCACATGCCAGATGCTTTCCCACTCCATGCCTTTGCCCACCCTGCTTCACCCACCTAGTGTATATAAACTTCCTTCTACAGACAGTGAGCACACAGCTCTATGATACAGGGCTAGAAACGAGCATAGCATGGTTAGGTGGAAAGAACACGCAGCTTGTAGAATCTGTTTTCTGCTAGCCCCAGCTCAGCCACTGATTCATGCTGTGGCCCCAGACCAC